GGTCTCGCAGGAAAGATAACCGAACGAGTCTGCTACCATGTCAGATATGACACAGAAGCAGGGAGAAAACGGGGGCAAAATATGCCTTTATTGGTAACAATAAAGCATCAACAACACAAAACCAACAGAAAACCCGATGTGGGAAAAAAGCTGGAAAAAGTGCCTGCAGTGCGCTAGCTAAGAATCGTGATAATGATTCCGCGTGCTGCTGGTGTGCAACAGCTGATGCTGGCTGCAAAGCATGGAATCGCCCGTAAGCGCTGGGCTACGCCCCCAAGAGTGCAGAGAAATGCGCTGATTGGTCAGCGTAGACAAAGCATAGCTGAGTAAGCAGCGTAATAGCGCGGCACGACTGGCGTGGCCATGTGCGGGCGGGCGACAGAGAAAGCCACGAGAGGTGTCTACCGCCTCGAGTGAGCGGTCTCTGACAGTGAAAATCCGAATATTCAAAAAGAAGGGATGCTGTACCAGGCTATAATTGAAATGACTAAAGGTCACGAAGACAGCACTATCAAAAACAAACATGCGAATAATGTTAAAAAGGTCACCGGAGATACATTTGCAAAGAAACAAGGGTGTGAGGAGTCAAAAGTAACGAACAAGAATAAGACTCGAGAATTCTACGATGTCAGAACTGATGTGCCGAAAAGGATCGATAAACTGAGCTCGATACTGAAAAGCAGTAGCACTTTAGCGAAGGGGCAAGTGCTTCCCGATATGGATCCGGGACCCGTATCGTTAATACCAGTGAAATGTACCATCCGAGTCTTTAAAATTCAAAATCGAAATCTGCTTAAAAGAATTGAAGCGAACGCACACGAAGTTTGAGTGGGAGGCATAAAGGTCATCGCAATGTTGGATACCGGTGCTGAGACGTCGCTGATCAGTCAACCGTTTTGCAAAAAGACTTGACTTTAAATATTTCCATTGCCACCAGAAAAGATAGCGTGAATCAATGGAATCAGCGGAACGTCAGGTTTCAGCGTAACACATTATTGCGAAGCACCAGTGACCTTAAGGAAATAGACCAGCCAACATTCCTTCTATATTCGACCAAAATCCGATGATGTACAGGTGTTACTAGGATTTGACTTCTTGGAAAAGAAATTCGTACTCGTTGATAATGAAGGTGTAGAGGAAGTCGAAGATGATCCGAAACCAGTTGCAAAAGTTCAAGTCGGAAAGGTCACCGAACTCGGAAAAAAGACTATAAATGCTGAAGCTGATAATAAAATATTAATCCCAGTACCAGAGGCACCAAGAACGAAAAATGAAAACGGAAAAGTTGAAAACGTTATCCCAGGACCAGAGGCACTAGGAAAGTAAAGACTGCTAAAATCTGAAAACATAAAAAGAATAAAAGGTCACGAGAAGCACCAGAACGAATAACTGACATAACCGGGAGAGGAAAATGGTTAAATTATTGGCAGCGGTGTATGGATAACGAAATCCGGGATCCTCGCGAACCTATACTACTGCAACAAAAACTTGAAAGAGAGATACAGGAAATGAACGAAGAGATTCAATTATGGGCAGACGCGAGAACGGAATTGTTTATTGACTTTCGTGTCAACGACATATACAAAGGTCATGGGAGAACGGTTATCTTTCCAACGGGACTCAGTACACCGGTTTACGAGTTGTTTAACAAATTCTATGACGCACTAAAAAAGAATGACCTCGAGTTATTCGAGAAATATTGGAAGAAATTCGAAACGGAATTCCCCACATTCGATGTAAACGAATTAAGGGAATTGCAAGTAACCCGGAAAACAAGGACACCAGGATTGATGATAAAGAAAAGACTGACCTTTGCACCCGACCCGGATGGGGTAGAATATTCAGAACGAGGTGGTGATACAAGGTGCATGAATGAGACGATTCCAAGCGACGATTGGGTCGCGGAGGAACTAATAGCGAACTGCGTCTTCGTTGGCCCCAAACGACCTAAAGGTTACGGGGAGAGCGAGCAAGATTACCCAAAGAGGCGAACAAAGTTTAAAGCGACCAACAGGTCAAACTTCAATCGTCAATATGCTCACGTGTAAAGGTCAAGATGGCTAAATATGCACCGACTCAAAAGAAACTGATGTTTACACATTATCAGGAGTGACGGATCACTGAGGAAAGCATTTCGAGCTGGTGATCGCGAATCATAGCAGTAGACGGGTGTAACCGTCCAAAACGTCCGGACGTCTGTGACGTCCGGCGGGCGTCTCAGATGACATCCTTTTCTTTATCCGCTTGGTGACCGTTTAAAGGTTCGATCGCTTTGTCGAGAATTTCACTAGCGAGTATCTGTTCTGCTTCAGTTATTCGTTCTGGTGCTTCTCGTGACATTTCATTCTATTTGTGTTTACAGATTTTAGCAGTCTTTACTTTCCCTTTCCATTCCCAGTGCCTCTGGTACTGGGATTAATATTTTATTATCAGCTTCAGCATTTATAGTCTTTTTTCCAAGTTCGGTGACCTTTCCGACTTGAACTTTTGCAACTGGTTTCGGATCATCTTCGACTTCCTCTACACCTTCATTATCAACGAGTACGAATTTCTTTTCTGTCAGAGTAGAAGACTCTGCCCTCAGGACAGCCGCCCCATCCGCCGCCTACCTGGTTGTCTCAAGCTCAAGCACAAAAATCTTGATCTCAGCCAACAACGGCGATGGCACAGTGGCTGTGCTACGTGGATCACACACTCGGTAGCGAGCGGTTCGATTCCGCTCCGTCGCCATTTTTCAGAATTTCCTCAACAAGAAATTCTTTCAGACTTCATCTGGCCGCCCTCCCTTCGCTGAGATACCCACGGACAGCCGTCTTTATGGCAGCCTCTGATATTTCCAAGAAGTCAAATCCAAGTAACACCTGTACATCATCGGATTTTGGTCGAATATAGAAGGAATGTTGGCTGGTCTATTTCCTTAAGGTCACTGGTGCTTCGCAATAATGTGTTACGTTGAAACCTGACGTTCCGCTGATTCCATTGATTCACGCTATCTTTTCTGGTGGCAATGGAAATATTTAAAGTCAAGTCTTTTTGCAAAACGGTTGACTGATCAGCGACGTCTCAGCACCGGTATCCAACATTGCGATGACCTTTATGCCTCCCACTCAAACTTCGTGTGCGTTCGCTTCAATTCTTTTAGGCAGATTTCGATTTTGAATTTTAAACTCGGATGGCACATTTCACTGGTATTAACGATACGGGTCCCGGATCCATATCGGGAAGCACTTGCCCCTTCGCTAAAGTGCTACTGCTTTTCAGTATCGAGCTCAGTTTATCGATCCTTTTCGGCACATCAGTTCTGACATCGTAGAATTCTCGAGTCTTATTCTTGTTCGTTACTTTTGACTCCTCACACCCTTGTTTCTTTGCAAATGTATCTCCGGTGACCTTTTTAACATTATTCGCATGTTTGTTTTTGATAGTGCTGTCTTCGTGACCTTTAGTCATTTCAATTATAGCCTGGTACAGCATCCCTTCTTTTTGAATATTCGGATTTTCGCGTAACTACTCAATAATTTCTCTTGTTAGTCTCTCAGCCACTGTCAGCTCTTTTTCTTCGCTATCTATCAGCTATTCTGGTGACCTTTCATAGACGGAGATGTTGTGCCGTTCGCTTTTCCTCCAGTTTTGACCTTGTGTCAAGTCGTTTCCTAACCTTTTAACAAGACATGTTTGTCGTGACCTTTAGCGTTTGTTCTTGCTCCATGACCTTTCACTTGCACTTTTCCTACAGAACCAACGTTTTGTGATATCCCCTTACAGCGGTCAAAAGAAGGCAGGATGGCTTATAGTTTAATTTTGACTTTATGGTCATGTACACTTTACAGTCAAATTTCAAAGCCAAAAGCCAGCCAAATGCTCGGTAATACCCAGACTTGTGGTATTCAGCAGTACATTTAAACATTTTGGTTTGCCATATCTCGACAACCGAATGTTGCGCGCAAACGGTATTCACAACAATGTATACAAATAATTTACCTTTAGAATGGCACAAAGTATTACAAAAAAGTGATTCCGAGTGCGCGAAAGCGAAAGTTTATTATATGTATCCCGTTTTTGACGCTATATACCGGCGGGCCATTTTCCTTAAGGAGAGCGTGCAGGATGTAATATACGAATGTAGTAATGTGCAGGATGTAATAATGTGCGTACATTGACTGGCACAAGTAACATACATACTGACCTCTTTCCACTTGCAGCTATAAGTTTATTGAATGGGATGTGTAAAGATGCAGGCTTGCACGCCTGCTGAAATTCGAATTACGGTTGAAATCGCGATAAAGGCTGAATTTTTCTCAGTCTGCGCTACGTCTCGTCCATGGACCAGCACGAAACTGCCCAGCAGACCATTCTTCAGTACCTTACGAACAAGTCTAAGCATAAAATCTAAAGCACAAAATCCGGAGCCCTCGTTCTGAGCAACATCACCAGATTTTATGATTCCGGCCAATAAACCTTTTGTTTTTTTCTTCCCACGATTGCTTGGTAATTGTGAGTTGTAATCACTTTATTTGTCATTAAAGTCCGAAGTGTCTCCCTGTGTCTGAATTTCCCACTGCCTCGCTCATAATTTTCCTAGCCTGAATGTAGTTTACAAGCAGACTTAATTTTTTAGTTGATTTATTCTCTACTCAGGCCCTCAATTTCCAATATGACCAAAAATGATTCTAGTTGTTTCTTAAACGTGTGAACTGAATTTTTTTATTAGTGTCTATCAGCGCAGGCTTGCAGTTGTAAAGTTAGTTGCCTACTGCGTAAATAAAATGAGGATCAAGAAAAGGATCAAAATGTATCAGAGGCGAGATAAACTGCAACCGCAGCGGAAGCGAGTACAGACTACAGACTATACACTATACAGTATGTGACACAAGGGCATCAAAATGAAAAGAATTAGCAGACCGTGCTAGTAGTCATTTATTTGCCGATCCGTCGCTCATTAAGTGGCAGGGTAATTAGCACGAAGGACATCCGTGGTGTCAAAGATTGGCTGCACCGTCTTAGACATGGAAGAGCGCATCGATGCCGTAAATTGCCATGGGGCTGAGTGTGGACACATCCAGCCGGCGCAGGTCCACATCGTCCCACGCGTACAGATTTCCCGCCTCGTGAAATCCGCTAAATCTGCAACGCAAAAATTTCAGGCGCCATCAATGGGTAACTGCAGTGCACGGTGTGCTGGATACTCACAGCACGATGTAGGTATGGATAGAACCCCATTCCTCGGGATACCTCAGAGTGCGCACCCAGCGCGCGTGCACCGCCCGGACCTTTTGCAGCATCTCCTCCGTGATCGGCGGGAAGTTGGCGTTCAGCGCGTGCATGAAGCGCGCCGACATCTGCTCCCGGCCTTCGCTGCACTTCAGAAGCAACCGCGGAATGGTGATTCGCAGTTTGTCAATGTCCAGCGCGTGGGACTCTTCCGTCAGCTGTTGCATCAGGTCTTTCTCGCGGGCACGCAGAAGATGGGCCGGTTTTGGATTCGCAAGGTGCGGATCACATTCAAAGGCGTGAAACATGGCCCGGCCAAAAAGCTCGCCGACGGTCCAGTTGAGCAGCAGTATGCTGTCGCCCAGGTGTTCATACTGCAATGCAAGGTGCGCTGCCGGGTGCTGGGAGAACCTTTTTGCGGATCGGCGCTCAACGGTGACCGGTTTCTCGCTAGTGTGGTCTTTGAAGACGATGAATCGCAGAAGGCGGTTTCGGCTGTGTTCAAGCCAGGGCAACAACAGATATGCGTGTTTTGGATGAAGGATTGGCAGTAAGGTCAGAGTGAGGGTTGCGGAAGTGATGGCACGACTCATGAGCGTGATCGCTTTGAAGCAGTTGTCGCTATCGAATGTCAGCTGATAACAGCTTTCGAAGGAAAAGCTAACATGTTCCGCCATGCGGGCGTCGCTCAGCAGCAACTGCCACAACGCGCACACTCTGTCGCATCAATCACCACCATCAGGTATCAGTCACCTGTGAAAGGGCTTCATTTTCTCTTACCGTTTGGCCCTCATTTGGGAATGCACATCGAGATTTGCCAGGATGTCCCTCTGCATGCACGGTGCCAAATGACCAATTCCCCCAGACGACCGCTCAACATCGCTGTTTAGACCTGCAGAGAAGAAAAGGAACCCGACCGAACAAAATGTCGGTCTGTTTCTTTGACGTGTTGCGGGTCCATCCAGCCTTTAACTGACATTGACAGCTTTCTGATTTCATTTGAAAGAGGAGTGTTCGTTTCATATTAAAAAACAGGAAAAATCAACATTATCCAAAGCTCTGAGTTTTTTACAATTTCTTTGGAAAAAATGGGCGGAGTTGGAGGATGTCCCGGAAACTTAAATTAAAATTCGCCAATTTTGAATTCAAAATCGCCGTTATTCGATGAAGTAGTTTCTTGAGTGTAACTTTACTATTTTGGATAGGGGAAATGTTTCTTGTCTTTCTCGTAAACAACTGTGGGCTTTGACCTTTACTAGTTGCGTTCCGGCTAGAGCCGGTAAGCACAAAACCCCGCGCATATGATTCTTGTGAAATCAGCTAGCCGGTGTTTTATAAATAGATTTCTCTCCGACGCTTCAGAAACTCATAAGGCCTAAACGTGTTTCTATAAGAGAAATTATTTAGCTACATTTATCATCCAAATCGGCAGCCTGTTTCGCAGCAACAAATTTTCCCTAAAACAAGCGAAAAAATTTGATAAAAAACTTGCAGTTTTTCGAAAAGCCACAAAATGCGGGAACTGCATAGCTCATTCAGAGCAAGCATCATGCCAATAACTTTTTTTCTTTAAAAAGCATAATGTTTTCGCTAAGTAAATCACCCGAAAAAATTAAAATTTTCCGTTCTGGAAAAAAGTGTCACCAGATTCACAAGTTTGCAAGCTGCGACAATGTAAATTTTTACACGTTTTTAATTAACACCGTTATTGATGAGCATGTTTTAATTTTCTGAAATAAATGTTACTGTTTCTAGTAGTTAATCAAATTTTTTGTCGAACGTCTCTAACTACTTAACGGTAGGACAAATGGTTCGCGAGAAACAAAGCAAAATAGAAGACCGACATTTTTTTCGGCCACCCGGTAACTGTCAGAATTAATCATACAAGGCCTAACAAGGGCAACTGCCACAATGTTACTAACCGGCATCCTGTGGGCTCGCGTCTCGCAGTCTAATCGGCGGCAGATTATCCCGACTGTCTAAGTGAGTCTGCAGTACTTCAGCCAACGTTTTCTCCGTCTTCTGGGCCGTCTTCGCGTCCTTTGCAAAACTGATGACGATGAACGCGCAACCGTCCTTCTCAACACGCAGGTGAAAGCGGCAGCGGTCGAAGCGATGGGGCCCATTGGTCCCGTGTTGTCGTTTGAAAGCGTCGCGCAGATGCTTGACGATGCGGAATTTGTCGGAAGCGTCCTTGAGGACATCCTGCGCTTTTTCGAAGGGAATAAAGTGCCTGGTGTAGAGCAGGCCGCTTTCCCGCTCCAACAACGACAGACCGGGCGGCGGCCAAAGACCTACATGTTGACCTTTGTGCACTAGTTGAAAAACATCTTTCGTATGGTGTTGGGGACAGATGAGGTGTGCCTGACATTTGCCGCATGTCTGATCCAGCTGCGTCGTGATGTCGAACATTTGACAGGAGTCGCGACAACCATCAAGATAGCTTCGCCAGGTGGCGCGTCGGAAGCAGAACGGTCCGCCAGCTATGTCACGCAGCGCCACATAACATTTTTGATTGCCGTTGACGCTGCCTGCACCGCTCTCCCAGTAGAAAGGAAACGGCCAGACCCTGCCCATGTGGATCCACTCGGGCGGGGCTGTTGTGGAGTTGTATTGAATTTGGGCGCCCTCGCCTTTCATGTCCTCGATGTATCCCAGCCACCAAGTATCCTCGCCCTTCTTAACCGCCACCGTGTTCTGGTAGCTCAAACAATTGTCTACCGCCCGTAGTGGCCGATACAGTCCCATTTCGGGTGCATTCATCTTTCAATCTGCAACAGCTAAGGGTTCTTCGCTGCATTAATTTTCCTAGATTACCGAAATTTGCTAAACACCGATTTTTACGATATAATCTGGTAAGCAATCTCGCATCACTTTCCCCAACACAAGTAACGAGAAATTATGCAAAACGTGTTCCCCTCGATACTTTGATTCGGTTAACTGTGCCAGATTCATCAAGTCACCGTGCATTCGGTAGATAACCAGGAGATACAAGAATACTAAGCATGTAATAATGTCGGCGAAACAACGTCGGCTGCGCCTCCGGTTTTCTTGGTCCTCAGTTGGTCGAGATTAGCGTATTGATAAATTGTTAAGTTTCCGAAGCGAAAAGGTACGTACACAAATTTAAGCAACAGTTACTGTCTAAGTATCAGCTGGATAGCCGTGGTAGGCCAGTCACTCATTCGCCTAACGGGTAGTGTGCACTGGATAGCAGTGGTAGTTTGGTCACTCATTCACCTAACGGAGATCACTTTTCCGGTTTGTTTCCCGGCATTGCCATTGTTTCGGCGGATAAACTGAGCCTACTCGGATCCCCTCTGCTGCCACCCGCAGTAGTTCCGATGATCGACGAGAAGATCCGTCAGCTGGAAGTTATGTGCAGCCGACTTTAGCTGATTCCTAAGCACCAAGCAGTGTTTCTGTTGGAGAATTGCCTGGCAGTGCCGAAAATCGTCCACGTTTTGCGCACGTCACTGGCTTGGATGTTCCCGAAAGAGCTGTACAGACTCGACCAGGTGTTTCGCCAAGCAGTGGAGACCATTACGAACGTACCAATGGACCACCCGACTTGGCTGCAAGCCTCGCTTCCCGTTCGCTTTGGCGGTTTGGGGATCAGACGCACGGAGAAGCTAGCTCCCTCTGCCTATCTGGCATCGGCTTCTTCGCTGCACCCGCTGATTTCCAGACTGTGCCCGACGCCAACGGCTACGGATGTGACTTCTGCCATGTGCGCCTGGAAAACATTGGCCGATACGGATGAACTTCCACCCGTAGCGTTGCGCCACGTTCAAAAAGCCTGGGGCACACCTGCGACCCTGAACGCCTTATAAAAGCTCGCCGCGTTAAGGGTCACCCAAGAGGAAGTCGCTCAGTTGAAGGCGGTGTCTGCACCGAAATCCGGTGTGTGGACCCATGCGTTGCCCGCAGCCTGCCTTGGTAACCTGTTGGATAGCAACGCCTTCCGTATAAGTGTGGCGTTGCGTCTGGGAGCACCTATTGTCACTCCTCACGTATGCGTCTGTGGCAGTCTGGTCGACGAGCTGGGCCGTCACGGGCTCCGTTGCAAGCGCTCAGCTGGGAGGCTGCCACGACACGATGGAATCAGTGCAGAATTCCCCCGTGCCTTGAAGACTGCAGGTTTTCCAGCCAGAGAGGAGCCAAAAGGTCTGTCCGTGGAAGATAAAAAACGGCCAGATGTGATTACCCTCGTCCCATGGAAGCGGGGAAAACCCCTGGCTGTTGATGTAACCTGCGTGTACTCACTCGCCACGTCGTATATCGACCGCACTTCCGTGTGCGTCGGTGCAGCAGCGGAGCAGTCGGAGAAAAGAAAACTGTCGAAACACGGCTGGCTACAACCAAGATACAATCTGGTAGCTGTCGCCTTTGAAATTTACGGACCCTTGGGAGGCGGAACGAAAAAGCTCGTGGAGAAGGTCGGCAACGGCATAGCTTCCGCCACAGGCCAGAAGCGGGTGAAAGAGCTTTTAGACAGCGGCTATCTATCCAAGTGCAACGGGGAAATGCGTTATGTTTTATGGGTACGATCCCCGAGCAGGATAGCATTGAAAAAGTGCTTTGTTATGAATTTTGTTTTAGTACTCAGTATGTACTTGTATTTGATGCTTGTTAAAAGTAAAACTACCTATTACGGAGATTGTTCACTAAATAGCAATGGTAGTTCAGTCACTCATTCACCCAACGGGCAGTGTGCAATAAATAGCAATGGGAATAGCGCTAGGCTGTTAGCACGGTCGCTTCCTTCCCTCGCTTCTGTGTTCAATGGGAGTAATGTCAAGCATAAATGGGGAGTAATGTCAAGCATAATGGGGTTCGATGGGGAGTAATTTCTTATGTACAGATAACTATTCTAAAGTAATACTTCGCTTTGACCATTATTTCGAGCACTTACACTGTGTGGATCAATAAATCGAACACTGTGAGGAATTAATAGCCACTCTTGCGGACGACTACTTGAGCAGCTAAATTGGCCGACCGAAATGCCAAGCATTTCGCACTGTAACCGGCACAATGAAGCTCCAAGTGAAAGAGCAGCAGGTGCTGAGTTTCTAAGTGTTCTGTTCATTGCATAGTAGTTTTTCTATTTTGTCTGTTGTATAGAAAATTATTGTAATATTGTTTTTTTTGCAGTATTAATTATTCATTTAATTTACGGATAAGGAAAGCCATATTAATCCTGCACTCCAACAAGTGCAGACCAACACGGGCAAATGTGCGTCGAGGATGTTCGATGAATTGGTTCACACAGAGCAAGTGTTCGAAATAATGGTCAAAGCGAAGTATATGGCTGACCCGGCTTGGTGAGGTGATTTGTTTGTTCGCTTTAACGTATTTTTTTGAAAAACGAACACTGTCTGGCCGCGTTTTAGAACATGGGCTTTCCGATGATAGCAGTAGTTTTTGTGGATTATGTCTGGAATACCGGCACCAGTGTAAGGAATTTGTTTTGTTCGTGGTAATAAAGATCTAGAACTAGATATCTGTATAAACAAATTATTTGAGATGCATTGTGATAAAGAGCCAAGGTCGAACGGTCACCGATGACAGCGTCCAAATAAATCTCGAAGAGCTTGGCGGCAATTTCTGTTGGCACAGGTCTGTGTATTTGCAGTTTTGCTATTGGTGCAAAACCTAATTTTGAGCGTTCACAGTGGGGTTACCGCACTAAAACATCTTTTGGCTTCGCCAAAGGTTCACAACCACTTGCGTAAAAATTACTCTTGTCAATTTATTTCTGCGGTCATATTACATAGGCCACCAATGCAAGGCTTAAGGGAAGTGCCACGGTACATGGTACATGTATTCATGTACATACACGAAATCTTTCAGTTTCGCGCACTCCCAAACCATTTTTTCTCTTGCTTTATGACAATCTCTGCCAAATAATTTGTATACACTGGCCTGAAAACCGTTTGCGCGCGCAAAATTCGGTTCGGGAGTTATGGTTGTTCAAAAATTCCAAAAAGTTTAAATGCATTCAGGTGTACCAACAGTCTCATTACGGACCGATCTCCTTCAAATATTGCATGTAAATGCACATAACCATGAAGATCGTTCCTACACCGATCCAGACTTCCACGATTTTTTCAGAATTTCAAAATGATTTTAAAAGTTTTGAAATTTGAAACCCTGTTAAAACAGTGGATCGGTGTAAAAAAAACGTTCTTCGTGGTTATGTGCGTTTGCCTGCAAAGTCTAAAGGCGATCGGTCTATAATGAGACTTTTGGTACCCCTGAATGCATTTAAACTTTTTGGAATTTTCGAAAAGCCATAACTCCCGAACCGGATGTTGTGCACACAAATGTTTTTCACGCCCGTTTATACAAATCATCTGGCTACACTGCCTACACAATGCCATAAAGCGAAACAAAAATGTGTTTGGGAGTGCGCGAAAGTAAAAGTTTCCGTGCAGGTTCACGAATTTGGCAACATGTACCGGGTCATTTCTCTTAAGTAGTCAACTATTATACAATACTAGAGAACCACGCGCAAATTGCGCGGAATAAATCAGAGAAAAATAACTGAATGCAAAAAAACAAATGTTTTCAACTTCTTCTAAGACGTTATAGATTTATAATTTTACTCTTATTATCTTATTTATAATGATACCGGACTGCCAGGACAATCCTACTCCCGCATCACGGCATCCCGAGAATGGGCCGGCTTTTGGCTTAGCTCTTCATTCAAAACGAATCTTTCACACCATAATAATAAATAACCAATCAACTATCATTCAAAATCGCAGATGATTTGCCCAGTTGCAATAGTAGCTCTGTAACTTAAACACAACTTAGGCTACTGAACCTCCAGATTTTTACCATCGCGATTCGCGCTCTCAGCCGCGCTGTTTCGAATTTCGATGTACCATTAGCCCTGACGAGCCATCTATTCATTAAAATTTATTATTTTACTTAAGACTACGGAATAATACGTGATCATGATTTAAGAACATCTAAGTTTCCCCCAGTCCTGCTGTTTGCGAGTGCATGATCATTAAGTGCGACTACCAAAACTGTCATGCAGTGTTTGCCCAGAGTGCGTTCAGTACTTAAGACCACCGACCAGACCAGTCGAATGAACGGATATTACAGGAACTGGTATTACTCCTCCTAGAAATTGAAACCTTATGAGGATGGAACCAATAGACCCGTGGAACGCTGCCCATGCTCCGTGCTAATACAGTACTTGAGCAGTCTAATGCACAGAAGCGCGCAATGGGTCACACTACACACGGACAATACCTATAGAATAACGGGAAACGTAATGATCGCCAATTAGGCCTCCTTAGTGAACGGAGGCCCGCGCTCACGCTCTGACTCAGACTCTGACCGCTCAAGTTTGACTCTGACCGCAGCACTTTGGCCGTCAAAACTCACCTTCAAAAAAACCGGTTCTTAGTTTCTTATGTTATTTTTAGGTTAGCTAGGTTTCTTGGTTTCTGAAGGTTTTTTTAGGTTATTCGTAGGTAATGCATAAGTGGCTAAGGTCATTCTTAATTTATTTCAAGTTTCCTTAGGGTTTTTTAACTTGAACGCGGGCCCAACGCTAATACTTTATCTGTCAAATCAGCAGAACCGTATAGTACGTACAAAAGCTAACACGTCAACTATCGATCAAGCCTACTGAGTATAGGGAGCGGTGGCGGTTTTTTGAGGACCAAGATCAACAGTTCACCACCACCTTTGATCATTATTATGCTGATCGGAACATGCTGATCAGTATAGTAATGATAAAAACT